GGATTACCAACTTGTTCACCCCATTCCAGCTAGTCATTGTGTCATGCTGGGGGAGGGAATTCTAGGGTAGCTAAAAGGCATAGCAGTGCTTCTTGTATCAAGTACATTGGAACTTAAACAAGAGGCTTGCTTTTCTGTAAGGTATGTTCTTGGAAACTGAATATTTCTTTGATTTGTAAGATTGTGCAGACTGTCATGAGCATCTTATCCAGAGCCCCATGGCAGGGGGCTTGGACTTTGAAGGTCCCTTCCAACCCAAACCATTCTATGTTTCTATGATTTTGAGTTAATTATTTATAATATTGAAAACTGAGAATCCTACCAGATCCATTAGTAGAAAAAGCTAGTAAAATGGACAGTGTGGGAAATTATGTCAGTGAATGTTGTTGAGTCAGAATGAAACCAAATTTGTTTTTTATTAATACACTTCCTGGTCCAACAGGACATGTGCCTATTTTAGAAGGATATTAGACCTACTTCCATCTCGGTGTAACTTGATGCCTTTCTCAGTAGAATTAATGGGGTAATCTAGGCAGTGAGAGTGTATTTAATACTGTCTTACACTGCTGTAAAGATCTGCCTAGAGCTGATCAATATTTATATCAATCATAGAATCTTTGGGTTGGAAGGGACCTTTAAAGGTCATCTAGTCCAACACCTCTGCAATGAGCAGGGACATCCTCAACTTGATCAGGTTGCTCAGAGCCCCATCCAACCTGACCTGGAGTGTTTCCAGGAATGGGGCATCTACCACCTCTCTGGGCAACCTGTGCCAATGTTTCACCACCCTCATTGTGAAAAATTTATTCCTCTTATCTAGTCTAAGTCTACCTTTTTTTAGTTTAAAGCCATTATGCCTTGTCCTGTTGCAGCAGGCCCTGCTAAAGAGTCTGTCCCCATCTTTCTTACAAGCCCCCTTTAAGTACTGGAAGGCTGCAATAAGGTCTCCCTGGAGCCTTCTCTTCTCCAGGCTGAACAACCCCAGCTCTCTCAGCCTTTCTTCATAGGAGAGGTGTTCCATCCCTCTGATCATTTTGGTGGCCCGCCTCTGGACCCGCTCCAATAGGACCATGTCTTTCCTGTGCTGAGGACTCCAGATCTGGACGCAGTACTCCAGGTGGGGTCTCAGCAGAGTGGAGTAGAGGGGCAGGACCACCTCCCTTGACCTGCTGGTCACAGTTCTTTTGTTGCAACCCTGGAAATGGTTGGCCTTCTGGGCTGCAACCGCATGTTGCTAGCTTGTGTCCAGCTTTTCATCCACCGGTACCCCCAAGTCCTCCTCAGCAGGGCTGCTCTCAATCCTTTCACTCCCCAGTCTGTATTGATATCCAGGGGTTGCCCTGACCCAGGACCCTGCACTTGCCCTTGTTGAACCTCATGAGGTTCACACAGGCCCATTCCTTGAGCTTGTCTAGGTCCCTCTAGATGGCATCCTGTCCCTCAGGCGTGTCAACTGCACCACTCAGCTTGGTGTCATCTGAAAACCTGCTGAGGGTGCACTCGATCCCACTGTCTGTGTCATTGAAGATACCGAAGAGTACTCGTCCCAGTATGGACCCCTGAGGGACACCGCTCATCACTGATCTCCATCTGGACATGGAGCTGTTGACCACTACCCCCTGGATGTGACCATCCAGCCAACTCCTCATCCACCCAACAGTGCACCCATCAAATCCATGTCTCTCCAATGTAGAGAGAAGGATGTTGTGGGGGACCGTGTCAAAGGCCTTACAGAAGTCCAGATAGACAACATCAGTAGCTCTTCCCTTGTCCACTTGTTGAAGGCATACAAGGAATTAAGCTGGGGGTATTGTTTAGTCTCTGTGAGCAGCTAACAAGATGCAACCCTGAGGGAAGGAACAAGGTAATCACAAAAGAAACACAGCTACTCAACCTTGAGTGAACTATCCTAATTAACATCTAATTAACATCTAATTGGCATAATAGAAACCTGCCCCTGGGTGCGGAAAGCCCTCTCCTCACAAAAGCCCTTTCCTCCCTGAGCATGCCTAGGGAAAAAGAAGGATGCTGTGACTTTTAGTGGAGAGGAGGCTTGTGAGAACCAGTGGGAACAAGGGTAATGGAGCCAACTTTTAAAAAATACTGATAACTGTTGCTCAAAATGTATAAATATTTTCTGTGTGTTAACTGAGGCGTGCTAGCTTTGTGGGCCTACCACCTAGCACCCAACTCTGTGCAGATTTGGAATAAAAGCTCGGCTCTGTGTATTTTTCAGCTCTCTGCACACTGGGTGGAAGAACCCATATTTGAGACAACACACTGATGTGGTCACTTCATCATAGAAGGCCACTAGGTTGGTCAGGAGGACTTGCCCTTGGTGAAGCCATGCTGGCTGTCTCAAATCACCTCTCTGTCCTCCATGTGCTTTAGCATAGCTTCTAGGAGGATCTGTTCCATGACCTTCCAGGCACAGACATGAGGCTGATAGGTCGGTAGTTCCCAGGGTCCTCCTTGATACCTTTTTTTAAAAAATGGGTGCAATGTTTCCTTTTTTCCAGTCTCCAGGGACTTCACCTGCCTGCCATGACTTTTCAAATATGATGGAGAGTGGCTT